AGGAAGTTCAATCACACCACTCTCTCCCAGGAGGACACGAAGACAATTCATGCGATGATTCACAACGCCAATCTCAATTGGTGTAAATTTGTGATGACTCACATGTTCACGGCCACCTCCGACAATCGGCCGCTCCCCTACGCCCTCCTTGTCATGGCGATTCTTGAAGAATATAACATCAAAACCGATGTTGGGCCAAAGATAAAGGGGACAAAGCATTGGGAGATTGATGAATCCTCTTTCCACTCGGGCACCGACGAGACTCCGTTTCGACAGCCTCGTCCACGCCGCCAACCGAGAGCCATTGCCTCAGCCGCCGCCACTTCGACCAATCCTTCTCTCGCCGAGCAAATGGCAGCCTTGACCGCCACTCTCTCTCGGATTGACACGAACGTCTCTAAAACGGCACACAACGTCAATACCTTGAGTCGTGAACTTCACGGGTATTTTGACTTTGTCAATTACCCGTACGCTCAAATGGTCCCTTACGTTCCTCCACCGAATTTTGGAGGTGAACAAAGTGGGACTCAAAACGTTGGTAGAGATGACGAGGTGGATGATGAGGAAGAGGAAGAAGAAGAAGAAGATGATGATGATGATGATAATGATGATGGCGATGGTGATGAAGATGAAGAAGAAGAAGAAGACATTGACGAAGAACAACTTCTCAATGATCTTTCCCCGGATTTCTAGAGCTCTAACTCTACTTTCTTCTCTTCCTTATTTTATCATCTTTTAATACGCTTTCGTTATGTGCTCCGTTATTTCCCTTAATTAATTAATAAAAATCTTTATGATTTTTGTTGTTAACAATCTTTTTGTTAATGTCAAAAGGGGGAAGATAAAGGCTATGCATATATTAAGGGGGAATTTTTTAAAAAGATCAAAATCCTATGCATATCCCCGTCTTGTTTGCCATTATCAAAAAGGGGGAAATTGTTGGAACACGCTTTCTACGATAAACTAAAGTCGTGTTCATTTCTGACAGGTTTTGATAATTGCCAAACCGCCGTGGATATAAAGAGTTCCGTTGAATAACTCAAGGCGTGAAGAATGGCTTGGAACAAGACCTAAAAGACTCAAGGACAAGATCAGGAATTGAAGACTTAGTCGAGTCGGTCTTTTGTGATCAAAACCGACAATATATTCAAGTCTCGGTTCTCAAAAAGTCAAAACAATTTTTACAAACCATAAAATATTTTTTGTGCATCAAAACAAACATTTTTGATGATTTCTTTTATTTTTAAAATCCCTAGTCCTTGCTCAGAACCAAAACCACCTAAGTCGGTGTTCGGCTTTAGACGCTCGGCTTTCGGCGTTCGGTTTTTGGCGCCCGAACCAACTCTGTGGTTTTCAATAGTTTTAAACCCTGTTTTTACCTCTGAGCATTTTTAAAATGTTCCCAAATAATTATTTTATAAAAACCACTTTTGTATCTTGGTCAATCGGTCTAACACGTGAAAAACGGTCTAAACCGTACGTACGTATTATACGACCTTGGAGACTTGGTTTTTGCCAAACAAGTCTTGTTTTCACTATTTAATACCATATACAATATTTTCCAAACCTGGTTTTTACTTTTGGGAACACTTCGTTTTTGGACCTCGGTTTTTCAAAACGGGTTTCAGCTGGCTAGACTTTAGCTGGGTGATAATCGATTATCACCTTAGTGACAATCGACTATCAGCCCCTGCAGCTTTGAACTTCCAAAGTTCTGAAGCACGCAATAATCGATTATCAGCTTTGCAATAATCGATTATCAGTCTTTGCAGCCAAAACCCAGAATCTTCTAAGAGGACCAATAATCGATTATCACTTGTTGACAATCGATTATCTGGGTTACCGTTGTCCTCCAACGGATAGAATTTTAAATTTTTGGATAGGGAATCTTTGGATAATCGATTATCATGCTTTGACAATCGACTATCAGCCTGTGTCCCTGAAAAATTTGTCTTCATCCTGTTGGAAATTCTAGCAACGGGTTTATCCCATTTTGGGCTATAAAATGGCACCCAAATCCTCTCATTTCATACACAATTCTTCAACATTTCAATACTCCTTCATTGCATAAGCATTCCTATTTTCTTTGCTATTTGAGAGCCAATTCTTGAAGAAATTGTCGTGTTCTTGAGCGTTTACTAGTTCACTCATATCTACTCTTTGTGAGAGTTTTATTCCTGAGTGTTTAAGTGTTTTCATACACTTTAAGGGAGCTTGTTCCCTTGTTGTAAACTCGAAGGTAATTACTTGTTCCTTCGTGAGAAGTCTTGGAGTGCGGTATCTCCGAGCAAAGGTGTTGAGGCTCGTGTGACTCGGGTTCTCAAGTTGTATCGGTTTGTTAAGCACCCTTAAGCTTAACGGATTTAGTGTAGCTCGAGAGAGTCTCTCGGGGGGCTGGATTAGCCACACGTTGTGGTGAACCAGGATAAAACTCGGTGTGCTCCTTCCTTACGCTCTTTATGTAACGCCCCAAAATATACCCTAAAATTTATTGAATTAAATATTCAATTAAACAAAATTTGTTTTGATTAAAATAAATTGTTGTTGGGCTTTGGGCTGAAATAAAATATATATTGATATCCTATAAACATAATTGGGATAAATCTCATAGAGATAAATCCAACATGTTGATTTATTGTGTGATCTTGATTGGGAACCTGAGTACAGACCCAAATTAAGAATAAATGAAGAAACTGTTTATAATGTGAACTTTGAAATGATTTATTGAAATAAATCATGGAAATAAATAATATGAATTAAATGTGAGAACCTTTTTTTTAATAAAGGTCAATTAAACCAATTTTGACTCTGTCAAAGTCAATAAATCATGGATTTCAATTCGGAGAATCATGGAAATAAATAATATAAAAATTATATCGTTAGATAGAGTTTAACTGTCTGATCGCAACGGTGCAATCGGATTTCAATTCGGAGAAAGTTGGACCAAAAAGTGTTCCCCGACTGGGACCAAATTAGTCCCAATCAAGGACTTGCCTTTGGAATCGGAGAAATATCGCAGCCCCCTCCACTGAGACGCCGAAACAGGAACGGATACATCATCACCTTGGCCTCTTCCTCCATTCTTTTACTATATAAGAAACCCAACTTCACCATTTCTTCACCATTCTTCATCAAATTCATTCTGAGAGATAGCCTTGAGTGTGGATAACGCAGTGGTGCTGTCAATTTGGTGAGAGGTCGCCGGAACAAGACGTGGTGTTCGCCGGAAGTTTCACCGGAAAATATTCAAAACCTTCATTTACCTTCGAGGTAAGCCCGTAGATATATCTAGTGATTAGAATGTTCGTATAGATCGTTTTTACGTTCATAAACGGTCGTTTGGTTGAGTTTTATGTTTGACATGTTTGAAAAACCAAGAATCGTAAACCAAGAAATTGTTGTTAAAACTACAAATTAATGACTCTAAAATGATCTGTGAACATTGGGGAACATTCCTATATAATTTAATTGAAATTTGGTAATTAAAAATGATAATGTTAAAAATTGAACAGAGGAAGAAGATGATGAACAGTGGCCGAAAATCGATAATTTCCTTCCTAATAATCGATTAAAAATTTGTTCAGATAGTCAGTATATTTAAAAATAATAATAATCGATTATTTTAATCATAAAAATCGATTTAACGTTATTAATCGATTGTTTTAATTATAAAAATCAATTATTATGAATTATTTGATTATTTAAATTGTAAAAACCGATTATTATGAATTAACGGATTATTTAAATTGTAAAAATTGATTTTTTATGAATTAATCGATTATTTATATTGTAAAAATCGATTAAAATTAATTAATTGATTATTTAAATTGTAAAAATCGATTTTAAGTAATTAATGGATTATTTAAAATATAAAAATCGATTTTTAGCAATTAATTGATTATTTAAAATATAAAAATCGATTTTTAGCAATTAATTGATTATTTAAAATATAAAAATCGATTTTTAGCAATTAATTGAATATTTAAAATATAAAAATCGATTTTTAGCTATTAATGGATTATTTTAAATATAAAAATCGATTTTTAGGTATTAATTGATTATTTTTAAAAATAAAAATCGATTTTTCTTAAGTCGAGATCCTGTTCCGAAAATATTCGGAAAATATATGCTCTAAAATCCACCAATTGATTAATTCATAATAATCGATTTTTATAATTCAATATTCATTGAATGACTGATGAATATTCATTGAATGATGAATATTGAATTGAATATTGCAATTATTATGAATGACTGATGAACATTGAATGTAAATATAAATGTTGAATAATGCATGATGAATAATTTTTAATAATTATTGATTATCTGAACTGAACATTATGTGCATGATATCAAATGATTTCATTATGAATTTAGATTCAGTTTATATGGATGTTCGATGCATTAGATATGCTTACTCAGCTTCAACGCTGAGCGTGTAGTATGTTTTATTTGCTACACGCAGGTTAATGAAGTGACGTGATCCTGGAGGCAGACGGAGGCGAGATTGTCGGAATGGATGTGATGGTTTTGAATTAAAGAATATAAATAAATTATGTTTGTGATTATGATTGTTAAGCTTCCGCAATATTGAAAACTCCGTACTGTTTATATTATGAAAAATATTATTGTGATAAATAAAAGTGTTTGAAATGTTTTAAATTTTTACGATTACCAAGTTAATACTTTAATCTGAAAGGGGCTACAGACCTGGACAGATTAGGGTGTTACACTTTACTTTAACGCACTCGTTTTTAATTTCCTGCGGTTTTATTTTAAAGGCTATTTACCCCCCTCTAGCGTTGGGCCTTTATTCTAACAGGGAGGGTGGTGGGTCGACGATCGATGACGATGTAGCGGCGAAGGAGTGGAGGTCGGCGCTCGATGACGGCTGGAGGCGAGGACGAACGGCAATTGGGTTTTGCGGTTCTGCTTCGAAGTTGAACCAAATGAAACGAGATAAGGTTTTAATTTAACTTCTGCGACGGAAATCCTTCCGTCGCAACAACCGTCGCAAATATAGATTTTAAAAAATTGACGCAGATTCCGTCAAATCCTTCCGTCGTAGATTCCGTCAAATTTTAAAATTCATTGTTTTTTTCGCAAAATCTGTCGCAATTTGTGACGGAATTAATCCGTTGCAGATATTCCGTCGCAAATAGAACCAAATCTTGTAGTGGTATCATTTTAGACTCTCTTTTTAATCTATTCACCGTCTAAAATCCACCAATCGATTATTTTAATCATAAAAATCGATTTAACGTTATTAATAGATTATTTTAATTATAAAAATCGATTATTATGAATTAATTGATTATTTAAATTATAAAAATCGATTATTATGAATTAATGGATTATTTAAATTGTAAAAATCAATTTTTTATGAATTAATCTATTATTTAAAATATAAAAATCGATTTTTAGCAATTAATTGATTATTTAAAATATAAAAATCGATTTTTAGCAATTAATTGATTATTTAAAATATAAAAATCGATTTTTGGCAATTAATTGATTATTTAAAATATAAAAATCTATTTTTAGCTATTAATGGATTATTTTAAATATAAAAATCGATTTTTAGGTATTAATTGATTATTTTTAAAAACAAAAATCGATTTTTCTTAAGTCGAGATCCTGTTCCGAAAATATTCGGAAAATATATGCTCTAAAATCCACCAATTGATTATGATCATTGGAAAAATGATTTACCATAATAAAAATGATGTTTTTAACAAATAAAAATGTTATGTGATGCATGACGGTAAGTTAGGGTGTTAACACTCGAAGCTAGGCCGCTAATTATTATTGAATATTATGTTGATTGATGATTATGGTAATGATTATTGATTGATTATTATGATGATTGAATCTTGATGAATATTCTGATTAAAAATGATAATTGTGAATGATTAAATCATAATGAATATATTGATGATTGTGAAAATAAAATGTATTGTTAAGGGTATCTAGAAGACCTCTAAGATATACCCATATTAATGTT